TAAATAGCTTGTTAATCAAAATATTATTATAAATTACATTGGCTTTCTTCCACTGAGATATAAAAAAGAGTCCACTATTATTGCTGGTATCCAGTGAAAAAAAATTGTCAAAAAGATATAGAAATAATAGTTCTTGATATACCATATTGAGCCGTACCAAAGCACTTTTTTCGACGGGACTTGAAGTCCCTCAAAAATTACATTTCTTCTTATAGTATCATAAGTAATTGGTCTTTGAACGGAGGAAACAGAATTATAGACTGGAATCTCATCGTCAACAGGTAAGTATTTGTTATCTCTGCTGGAAAGATTAACACTCTGTGATATGGATATACAAAAAAAGTTCTAACCTATTTAATGTAAATGATATTTTAAGAGATTTACTAAATTTTTATTTTAGTAGTAAACTAAAAAAGGAGATACAAATTACCGTTCTTGTGCAACATCCCATGCTGCAGCAATAATGTTGTTGACAACATAATCAACAGGAATCATATCGACAGTTAAGTCTTTATCACAATACAATGTTCGTAAAATACCTTTCATGCTACCAAAAACAACACCTGTAATTCCATTCAAATTGTTTATCCAGCCAGCAATTGGTTCCTTTTCTGTTGATACAACAACGGATGGCCGAACAATGCAAGTTGGAATTCCATTAGAATATTGCCGTACTGTATCTTCACAGATTGCCTTTGAAAATGCGTAACTGTTAGGCCATTTCCCCAGTAGCCTGTAGAACAAACGAATATGCCTATAGACTAATGTCTAAAAGAATGCAATAGGTTTCATGTTATATTACTTTGGGGTGATTAAATCTAATTGGTCTTCGGTTAAAATCTCTGTCAATCTAATTATGTCTTCTGTCTTCATAGGTGGYTTATACAATTTTTCTTCGATTTTATTGTAAACACAGTGCGAGTAAGCTGTTGAAACATAAACAAAGGCCTAAAGAACAAAATTATTATAAAATTAGAACAATTTATTTTTAGAATTAAACTAAGTTTTATATATAAATAAATTGATCTAGTCGGGAACTGTGCTTAAACATACGAATTTTTATACGGATGATTTAACTAGGAAAAAAATACCTTTAAGCTTKTCATCTCTTGTGCAAGCAAGAGAAGATCCCTTGTTCCTCTAATATTTGTATTAACTATAATACGAATATTGTCCAGAAAACGTACTGATGCTGCACTGTGAAAAATTACATCGGTATCTTTAATGCGATCGCGGTCCTTCTCTGACAATCCTAAATTCAATAGACTCGTGTCTCCTTCAATCACAATAATCTTCTTTTCAACATCTTTTTGCTCTCTCTTTAACCTATCAAAAATCTGAAGATTTAAATATAAACTGTAATATTCGTGACATCTTTTATTACGATCATAATAAATACATATTGTTTAACGTTACTCACAACATCATTGAAATACTCTTTAAATCGAGTTTGCGGATCCTTCTGTTTCTTTGCCCTTACCAGCAAATAAATCCTTGTTATTTCTGGACAACATCTGTAAACCGTAGCAATTGCATTTATAGTAAAAGTTTTTAGCGGAAATTAATTTCTTATAAAATAAAACATTATTGTGTCAAAGCTTATATATAGAAGTAAAGCGAGAAGTAGAAAAAGAGAAAAATAAAGAATAATAATCGTTATCTTTAAATACAGGTACTATTAGATAGATATATGTTCTAGCAAATAAATCTGTAAAAAAAAATAGTTATCATT